CCCACCGCTGCAGGAAACTGGACTAACTGGCACACCGCCGTCAACGTCCTGGAACTGAACTGAATCTGGACGCTTTGTTGGCGAAAGCCTTTTCCGTCCTGTGCAACCTGACCTGACCTGAGCAGAGCTGGGTGCCTACGTTGTGAGCATACAATCGAAGGAACTCTGGACGCTCGATTGGCTGTGGCCATATTCAGTTCTGTGCTACCTAACCCAACCTGACCTGACCATGCTCTAATTTGTTTAGTCGTATCGTAGGTATATTCCGCGGGTGGTTGTGGAAAATGGAACGGTCGCGCCTGTACAAGAATCAGGATAAAAATGCTGATGTACGCTTGATTAGTTTTTAATTTTTTTCTAAAGGAGTTGAGGAGACGAAGAGTGGATCAGTCCGTTGAATTAAGGCGCGCCAAAAAGGATGAGCAGTTACAGAAGCGTCGCAACATTCTGTTGAGTGAGCTGGACGAGACTTCTCCGCTTCGAGAAAAACAGGTAAGGTTGATATACAGTTATTCATGTTTTAAGGTGAAAACCCCGGAACATGTGAATTATGATTCTTTGATCAGAGATATGCGCAGTACAGATGAAGAAACCCGGTTTAATGCCATTACACTTTGCCGGAAGGCCCTGTCACGGGCGAAAAATCCTCCGATTGATGAGCTTTACTCGCGTGGTGCCGTGGACATCCTGGTGGATGCAATTGACTCAAAGTCGTACGTTCAAATCCGTTTTTGATTTTCTCCCAGTGATTCACTTGTGTTCGAAGCGACGTGGGCCCTGACTAATATTGCGTCAGGAGAAAGCAGGCATACTTCAGCGGTTGTTGAGAGCGGTGCGGTCCCCAAGTTCATCATGCTTCTTAGCCATCCGGCCATAAACGTTGCCGAGCAGAGCGTTTGGGCACTGGGGAACATTGCAGGAGATGGCTCTAAATGCCGGGATCTTGTGATTAGTGCTGGTGTACTGGATCCACTTCTTAAGTAATTCATCATTTCGTTGTCAACCCTTTCAGGCTCCTTGAGCGGGTTTGGGATATGCCATGCGTTGTGTGCAATATTGCTTGGGTTCTGTCCAACCTTTGCCGCAACCGTGATCCTCCACCACCACATAGCATCATCAAAACGATGCTGCCGGTTTTCAAACGGCTTTTGCAGTACGATCGGAGTAAAGAGGTGGTTATGGATACGGCATGGGCATTAGCCTACGCAAGCGATGCCGTTAATGATGCAATTAGCGATATACTTGAAAGTGGTTGCTTGCCCTCTCTCCTTCGACTTTTGTCTTCAGACACAGTAAGTTATAATTACGACCATTTACCGCCCCCTCTAGCCTTCTCTCATCTCACCTTCGCTTCGCGCAGTGGGGAACCTGGTAATAGGTGATGATGTACAAACCCAAGCTGTAATTGACGCCGGTCTTTTGCCATATGTGCTTCCGTTATTAAACAATGAAAAATCTTCGATAGTCAAGGAAACCTGTTGGATGGTGAGCAATCTAACTGCTGGCAGTGTCGATCAGATCCAGGCAGTCATCAATCATAACATAATCCCAACTGTTTTGGAGATAATGCATAAGGTTAGTTTCCTTACCTCTGATTGAGTGGTCGTTCTTGGAAATTACCTGGAGTTTTACAAATATTGTAAAATTATGAGTTGGTGCATGCTCCGGGGAGATTTTGTTCAATCATTCATATACTAGTTTTAATTAATATTACTGTGTTATCTCTAGTGCGCGTGGTTGTTTTTCCGTGTATAGAACTTGATGTTTAAGTCTGTGATTCGCGATGGAAATACGTTTTTGCCCTAAACTGTGCCACTCCATCGCTTTCCACGCACCAAGCTGTTAACTTGCATCCAGTATGTATCCTGGTACTGGCCTCAGCTTTTGGTTCAATGTTACTATGTTGCTCAGAGAGGTGCGTAAAGGAAGGCCGACACAAAATGAGTGCATGGTAGGTGACTATACCAAGTTATTCAGATGGGTCTCTGTGCTCTTCACGCTCCTATCACCTAAGGATATTGGATGTTTTCTTCATCGCTCTGCATTGACTTAACGAGTACAACGCGAAGGTGATGTCGCTAGGCAACAACTAAAGTCGGCGCCCGCAAATAGTTTTTAATGTTCCTTTGACGCGGACGATTTCTTTTCTGAGCCAAGTCGCTTAGTTTGTCTAACCATACTTGATTTCTACGCGCTGGTGAGTCTATGTTCATTTGTACAGAGGAATAACTAGAAACTGACTGTAATTTTCCCTCGAAGCGCACAACCGCCCTTAACCATATCCTCGTGCGGCATCGAATTGTTCCCGGGTGACACCAATCTGGAGTATGCAGGTGACTTTGTTCTGCTAGGTGAAGACCCATGTAAGTTGCATGCTTTTCTGGCTAGTGTAGTCATGTTCGGTATGCGTTTTGCACCTTCAAAGTAGAAGATTTTGCTACCAGACGGATGATGAATGCCGGATGAAGTATCAGCTGGCATACGGAAGACTCGACTACCATGGCCATTACGAAAACCATAGAGACGGTGTTCAGACACTGCTGTTTACGCATTGCTTGAGTCCTGTAGGGCAACCGAATAAGCAATGCTAAGGTTAGGTGCAGAGATTAAGGTAACCGCGGTCGTCCACTGAAGGTGATCGACTTCCATAGTTAACGTTTTTTGGGACACGTGTTACGCATACTATCAAATAGATTTCCACAGCGTGCGATGGTAGTGGGTTGAAAAGAGTCGAAGGTAGTCAAATTAATACCTGGCATGTGGTTGTCAAAACTCTAATCAGGAGACTCGGTCATTAGGTCACGTTAGGCTCCATAGATAGTGACATCAAGATCCTCGTAACCGGTTGTTAGAGACAGTGATATAGCTAAGTGTCATCAATTGGTATGCTCGTGCATCTCAATTTCCTCGCAAGCTTGGTCTTCTGGGAATCTCCATTCTACTTCGATTCTACTCTCAGCTTTCCAATCAGCCCCTTCATCTAAATCGGGAGTCGAAAGACGGCAACCTATACCACCGCACGAAAGCTCCTATATATGTATGTTCACATAGGCTTTATAAGGACATAGGGCCTAAACAAAAAGATGGGATAAAGGTTGAAGGTACAGATTGGTGGAAGGAGAATATTGAAAACAGGACAGGGAGAACGAATGAATGAGAGAATAATTTTCTGAGCTTCACCGTTCAAATTGTCATGCTGTCCATTTGGAGATGGGGAGTTTAGACATAAACCACATAGCTACCGCGCCACTAACTTCTATTCTGAGTCATATTTCTCGGCGTCGCTAACCATTACCAATCTTCATTCCTTGGCCCCAACCTGGAAGGCGAGCTGCATCAACCGAAGCCATCACTGAGGCTAACTTCTCCGTACCTCTACGGTGCCTCCTCCATCCTCACCCAGTATGTCGGTGGTAAATATATATATATACATATATATATATATATATTTATATATCCCCCAGCACGTGCACAGGAAGCACCGAGAGGTAGACGAAAAACAGGAATACGCCAAGCTCGACCGAGCCATAAGGGGTGGTGGTGGTGTGGGACAGTTATTTCTATTGGATGACGACTGTCAGTACCCAGCACACGATTTTCGTCATGCTTCACCCGAATAGAATCTGAAGTGTTGATCATCATCACCGATCAGGCCCGCCCTAGTACTCTGTCGTTCACTTAAGAGTGGGGCATTGGCCAATGGCATCGTGTTTGGTCTTTCTTTCTGTTCCAAGCTGTTCGTCTATCCCTTTCAAGTACAGCATGGCGCACTCCACTAGATACAAAGGGCGTTGAAAGCTGCTCATAGACTCTAACTCGACCTGGGGAATGGTAATGCAATTCTGAGGATGGACACACCTCAGGTACTCCATTTCTAAACAAACTGCCATGGTGCAGTCCTATCGACAATTGAAGGCCGTGCACATGTCGAGGAACATAATAGCCGTTGTTCTGCGTTAGGCATGTCGGTGCTGTAGCAACTGTCGAGGGGGGGGGGTATGTCGATGAATCCACGACCGGCGCGAAATAGTGTGCTCGTGGGCTCGTGTGCTCCTCCGGCGTCTTGTACAGTCTACAAAAAGTAACCAGCACTAACAGTTTTGACGCTATCAGGATAAGACTTATACTCGCGTGATGGGTGTAAATGCGGCACGGGCCCTTTGTAAAGGTGGGAACAATGTTCGATTTCCCCCACGATTAGTCTCTGCTCAGTGTTCCTAACTTTAGAGAACAGAACTTGCAGTTCTCTAACGAGCTTCATTTCACCATTCTCAAGTAGAGTTGGATAAAGGCCATTTGAGCCCGGCGCTTTCTGTCCGAAGGCTTGGATCTCCTTACAGATTGCCTCCTCGAAAGGGTTTCTGTTTAGTCAAATCATGGAACATGTGCCGGAACACCTGTGAGAAGCTGACGCTAGTGGCCAACTATACTGTGCTTCAAAGTGCCCTACCCAGCATGCAAGGTGCTCTTTATTGTCAGTAATGGAGCCGTCAGCTTCCTGGATCGCTTCGCTTACACCTACAGAGATGTAACAGCTCGCGGGTAGTTTCCATAGCAACAGGACGTTCCATCTTGGAGGCACGTTCAGATAACCAAATTTCGTGATCTCTGCGTCCACTCATTAAATTAACATCTTACAAATCGTACTATGTTATGCTCGCTGCTGGTTGGAAGTGACCGGTGTGCGTGAAGAAGACGCAGAGACTCAGCGACATCACCACAACTTATTAAGTCAGCAGAATGCGAAGCATTCTTGAAAAGGGACCAGTGCAGACTGAAGTTATCAGATGGGTTTCACTCTCAAGCTATTGCGTAATCAGCTTCTAGGGGAATGCTCCAGTACGATCAGCAGCTTGAATTCGATCCCGCCATTTATGGCTTATAGCGACGTGGTCGATCTGCTTTCGTCGCTGATTCGAGGGGAGCGGACACAAAGTGGCGTACCGTCAGTTGAATCGTCCGAAGTTCGTACTCACGGGGAATAGGCAGTGATCGGAATATGGGCCAACAATTGTTCCCTGTTTTCCAAGCGAAAGAATCTGGTCCGAAAACATTTCCCAGATTCACCTCACTCGAGGCCAACTGGTCTGCTCTAGTTTTAATATAGGCTAAAACCACGCTATTCACCCGATTCGCTGTACACAAGACGTAGTTTTTGGTGCAATTAATCTTTGAATATTTGGGCTACAGTAAGTGGTTACCTACGCTAAGAAAATAAATAGGTTGCGTCTTTTGAAACCACAATTGATTACTTTGCACGAACCTATGAATCTCACTACGCGTAACTTACTGTCGACTGAGATCCAATCCTGGAGCACCATCTAGCCTCACATTGTCACGCCAAAACCAGAAGCCACATCCTGAGGGTCCCCCAAATGGCGTAAGTGAAACTTCCCTGATGGGTTTGATAGGGGCGTCAATCAAATGAAAAAGCTAGTCTTGNGTTTCTTGGACACCACATCGACGGCTAAGGCATCAAGGATACAAGTCAGATATGCCTGTTGTGGTAGACGCGTCAGAGTACGCACGTCAAATGTGGCTAGTCTGAAAGGGCATCGAGAATGAAAAGGAGCCTCAGCCAGTGACTCTTCGGGACAGGACGCGAGAGAATAGGGGCAGGATTTCCGTCTGAGTCATACGTGTTAGTGTGATCGTCTGAAGACTCCAATGCAACTAGAAATATTCGACGGGAGTGCATGTGAGTGGGAGAAAAAAAGACGAGAAAACGGACGGATGTGCACGGCGTAGAGCGATTTTCTCTGAATTAGAAACTGTTGGGGAAAATTCTTGGATTACAGGAAGTTCACTTTATTTTGTGTGCGTGTTGGGCCATTGTAATATTCGATCTCAGTCCAGAGTATGTCTCATTCGAGGGTGCAGGATGCAGTGTCTGTAACTCACTCCGCCGGACCACACTACAACCAGGGGTGGGGAGGTCAAGTCGTAAAGCGCTATTTGCATCACTAAGTACCTTGCTCAACGGCGTATTCCGATCCGATAAGAAATGTAGTAAAGAACGCCAAGAGGCAGCAAACAAAACCGGTGCACGAAAATCCATGATTAATGGTTGTTTGGTTGGTTGTAAAAACTGAAACTGATCATGACGTTGCAGCTGCAGACACTGTTCCGCCGCCCTACGGGTTTGATATTGAATAATCAACGGCTCTAAATGAAACTCCTTAAGACGTTCCCCTATCCAATCCTAATAAAAAAGTAGGCCGACTCATGTGCCTTTGGAGTGATGTAAAAATGACTTAATGGATGGGACAACCGCTAAACATAGTAGACCTGCTTCACAACCTGTAGAAGGCCTTTTAAACCGAATGTCCCAAACCGGAGATAAACGGTAGTCACCGGTGGGGTACGACAGGATTGCCCTATCTCCGTTCCTCTTCAACCTTGCCATAGGTGATGCTCGACGTAACGGACGCTGGTGTCGAGTTTCATCTTGGAGACTGAGTCCTAGACTTGTAGCATGCCGATGACATTGCCCTACTCGGCGGCAACGCACCGACGACTCAAGAGTCGCTGAATCGTTTGGCAAGTGAGGTTACTCGTTATGATGTGTCATTTGCACATTCAAAGTGCAAAGTGCTGTTGCAAGATCGGCAGGATCCCGTTCCTGCACTTTCGTGGGGTAATGACACCCTGGAGGTAGTCTGAAGCTTCGCCTACTTGGGGAATCGCATAACGGCCGGCAGAGGTGTCCACGGGATCNCTCAACGTATGATCAAAGCTAGATGAGCCTTTGCTAATCTGCGACAAGTTTGGTGCCGGTGCTACAATCCTTGCATTGAAAAGGCGTTTTTATAACGCAACGGTATGCGCCGTGTTGATCTATGGCTGCGAAACCTGGCCTCTAAGCAGATCATGTCCAACGACCATCCGTCTTCGACAACCATTGTCTGCGCAACATCGCCCGCGTATGGTGGGAGCATCGCGTGAATAACGATGAAGTCAGGCGATGGATGATAGGACCAGATAGTCTTTCATTGAACAAATTAATTTCACTGCATCGTCTTAGGTGGCTGGGGAACGTGCTGCCCGAGCAACGTGTGCCATACCATGCACTGTTTGCAGACATCAGTCCCGCCTGGACGAAACGGTGAGGTGGGCAAGCTGTGACGTGGCGTAGGGGGTCCAAGAGATTGTGCTGGGATCTGGCTTCCGTTGAGGCTTCCTGTCTTTTCCGCTGGGGTTCCAAAGATTCAGATTGTCTTTGAAGACACTGCGGGATATCGCATCGAATCGAAGTCAGTGGTTTGAATGCATCTTTTCTGTATGCGATCCCCAAAATCAATGAAAAAAATCAAAATCGCTTGCAGTAAACAAAAAATTGTCATTATCAAAGTTCACTGTTTTTCCATTTCTGTTGCTATAGTTTTTTCGTTAAACCTATGATGCCATGGCAGTGAAGATTGTTGCTAAATATAAACATAATCTTTTTCTGTGCATATTTGATCTGCATCTATTTAACGTGTTGACCAGTAAAATGGAAAATAGAAGACCTAGACCATTGCAGGTGGCAATTTTTATGGTGTTTTAAATTGTGCTTGAAACTGAAAACACGCACTCACTACAGAACACTTGATCCTGGTGATCTTGGGGTTTATCTCTCTTGCCGTTCGCTAAGAACAACTCACGTGAAGGTCGACAAATAACTTGGAGATAGAGCAAAGAGAAATGCACTGGACGATCACGTAGAGTGGATGTCTTCTGTCTTCCAGAATACTTGTTCATCGGGAACATTGAAGGATATACCAGGATATACTGAAGATATACCAGCAGACCGACGGCTCTTGCATCTGTTTCTTAGACCAGGGCGTTCGAAGAAACGTGTATATATCGGTAGACTGCTCTGTGTGAGCCAAAATCAACGTAAGCCTAATCACTGTCCATCTAAAACATTCTCGCTTTCCTTGTGTTTTGATTAGGGTATTGATCAATGAAGTTCACTTGACCGTAATTAGCTGTACCGTAAAAAGTGTAATTTTCATCGGTGGTTTTTTGCGGATTCACTTATTTTCGTATGATGCATTTTAATATCGTTTAACTTTCAGGGTGAGTTTCGGACGCAGAAGGAGGCCTGTTGGATTATCAATAATATGGTCAACGGTGGTTCAGCTGAACAGTGCGCTTATTTGTTGAATCAACGGGTTATACCTGCGTTATGCAATTTACTGACAGTTTCGGAAGCGAAGATTATAGTTATGGTTCTAGAAACTATCAAGAGACTCTTTGAAGTAAGTCACTTGAATAACGTGCATTTCTTTCGGTGTTGTATTTGATAGCAGTCATCACGGCTACTGAACATCGAGGCTGTGAGGTCTCATTTTGCTTTATCTTAAGATATCTCTCGACCAAGTTGTGGCAGTTTAACAGTCAATTTCGAATGCTAATTCTCTATTACTCTCTCTATTCTCTATTATCCTCTAAAAATATTTCCGTTCCTAAGAATCTTTATGTACAAGTTCACAACGGTAGCTTGTACCACTTCCGTGATACGTAACTTTCTTCTTCAAGAGCCCGACCCAGTGTGAGAACCTCCATCTGTTTTGCCTTTTGAGATGAATGGGCCATTGATCTACGCGCAATCCATCTTGTGAGTACATGACAAGAGCTGAGGGTAGCACCAAAATGAAGATACTGCTTTTTGAAGTAGATATGCTTACTGAATAAATTGGTTTAAATTAGATTCCCGCCTCTATAAATCCAAATGTGGCTAATAGAGCTGGTTACCATATATCCAAGAGTTATGTTTCAGTTCATGTTCCTAATTGTTACCGATATAGATTTAGAGTTTGCCGAACCCCTAAGAGAGCCACCTGCCGGTAATTTATCGATCCATCACGACGAGACTGCACCTTGGTTGTGTGATGGCTTGCGTACCTCCATGACACTGCGAGCCACACAGGATGGCTTTTCACAGCCGTAAATCCAATCATGCCTGAGAGATCAGCGGTAGAAGCTAGACAAAGCTCAGTCTCACGAAGCCAGCTGCTTCGGCACCTGGCTTCCTTTGTATATCCACACCCACCCCTGAAGAGGTCAATCCAACAAATAAACACGGTGAGGGGCAGTTTACCAGACAAAAAGTCCTGCTAGATGGACTTAGGAGCGGGGTACCTGGGGCTTCCTCTCGGCGGTGGGAGAAGTCTTCACCTTCATTGGACAGCTACCGCCCACCCAAGCTGGTCAGCCCCCAGCCAATAGGGTGCTGTCCCGTCCACGTTCCACTTGTCTTATCGGGTGCATGAGGCTAAGGACTGACACCGAAAAGCGGACCGACAATCGACGCACCATCGAACAGCGCAATGGAAATTCAAAGGACTTGCGTGACAGGTCTCCAGAAGCTTCCACACGGGTGCTTCGTTTACGCTCCCGCGTTGGATTTACGCCCCACTGCCTTGTGTTTTAGTCGAAGGCTCCGGTTAGGGTTCCCAAAGAAAAACCCCTTCGTCGGTGTGGTCTGCCGCGAAGTATGTTGTGCCCTAAAATCTTTGGCGCTCATTTAGAAGAACCTTTTCGATTTATCTAGTTCCTCCTTTCAATCCCGAGTAATCCCAGACGCCTGTTTACGCCACCCTCGAATATCGCTGCGCGTTTTACCAGCAAGGTCAAACTGCCAGAAGTCACAAGATTTTTGAAGGTAAAGTCTCCTTTTCACTTAATCGCGTTCAATGTCCGCACACTCAAATTGGTCAACAAGCTCCCTTATCTAGAACCCTTGGAGCTTTCAGTTTAGATTTATGCTGTGTCTGAAACATTCG